GCACCCCCTCTTTCTCCCGGCGCTCCTCCTCCGCATCCCTCACCCCTCGTCCCTCCCCCACGCGCCGGGATCGGACAGACAGGTGAGCAGGTGCGCGGGGAGGAGCCCTGAGGGGAAGGACACAGCTTGCGCGTCCGCCTGGCGTCCTCCTCTGCCTCGCTGCGCCGCGAGCCACGTGCGGGGAGTGGCGGGCCACCTGCTCCCCCGGGCCACCTTGACCCTCCTCGCCTCCCATGGGCCCGCGACCCCGCCTCGCTGCTGGGGTCCGCAGACAGGTGCAATGTCGCGGGGCTTTTTCCTCCGCCACTGAGGAGGCTGACACCTGCGCTTATAGGCTCCACTAAAAATAGAACTTGTCAAACCGGGAGCCTCCGGGCGGAGCTAGCACTCGAACTCACTGCCCAGCCTAGCCAGTGGGGTAGTTGGATGGGAGCTGAATATCCCAGGCTAGAAATCCCCAAGGATTCTCAAGTATGATGCCAGGTGATGATGTCTCCCTTTTCCACAGGCTTATGAGGTTCACTAGATTTGTTTGGGTTGTCAAAATATATGGGGGAGGGGGGTCGTCACGAACATCCTTAGTCCGTGGGAAGTTTTTAATTAAAAACATTAACACGCACATGGTAACATCTCCGATGGCGACGAATTAAAACCAAGCAAGCATGACTGCTGGTTTCTTCCTCGACACCAAGGATGTAGTTTGTTTAATATTTCAAGAGGTCTGCCCTTTTCAATAAAGACATATTGCCAGGCACCAGAAAGATTAGAAACCCTAAGGTGCATTCATTTTGACATCTCAAACGAAAAACAGTCAATATACAAATTCATCTTTATATCTTTATTTTTACTAATCTTGTTTTGTTGGACCTTCAGTCAACTCTCAGGATATAGGATCTTGTAAACACCTCTGAAGTACCACAGGACAAACTTTGTTAATACCTGTGCTTACAATTAGTTGTTGGTTGTATGTTAGTAGTCAAAATTCCCACTGTATTGATGCGCTTACTAAAGTAGCTACGAAAAAATACCTGAAAGAAGTGATAAATTGTTGTGTCCGTTTAAATGAAATTGCAATGGAATTATAAAGTGCTTACATCATTGGGAAATTTGCAAACCCTAAGTAAGACTTCATAGTGTGACAAGAACTCCTGTGACATTTAGAACTACCTGCAGTATTGATGCCTGGCCCAGGTAAGCATCATCTAGTTCTATGAGAACTATTTTATTTGCAAATTTAAAATGTCATATCTCTTTTAAATTATGTAAAACCAGGCTGGTTTCACCTCAGTGTGTACACATACACACAATCATACATATATATCATATATATATATATATATATATATATATATGGAGAGAGAGAGAGAGAGTTGTACCTCTTGCTTTATTCTAGACATCTTGAGTGAGAGCTTTGATAGACATTGACAGCCTGAACTTTCCAGACAGGTTTTCTCTGTGTAGCTTTGGAGCCTATCCTGGCACTCGCTCTGTAGACCAGTCTGGCCTCAAACTCACAGAGATCCGCCTGCTTCTGCCTCCCAAGTACTGGGATTAAAGGTGTGCGCCACCAACGCCCAGCTCCTTTTCCTTTCTTAATGAATAGCTTAACAGCTCTGAGTTTTCTGTGTTGTGTCTGGAGCAATAGGTGTGTTCATTTTGTATTTCTGTTTGGTTGGTTTTGTTCATTTTCATTTACTAGAGATGAGGAAAAGGTAAAGAAAATGATCACTACCCAAAGTAGGAAAAGCTCACTTTTGCATACTTTATTAAATTTCAGAAATGTTGTTTAAGCTTGCTAATTAAAGTGTTCTGTAGATTGTCAGCTCCTTGCCCTGTAGAAAATGGACAGGGCTCTGAATCATTCTTGAACTATCTGTGCAATCTGCTTAGGCTATGTGAACTTCAGTATACTCATTCCTTAAACAGACATGATAATACCTATCCCACAGGGAAGAATCCATCAAATGATGTCAGTTTAGCATTAGCTAGCATATAGTAAAATGCATCTTTGTATCCTTCATATACAGGAACCATGTGCGTTGAGTCACCTATATACAGACACATGTAAGACTAATTATAACCTGTTTACAACTTCATCAAATTTAAACTTTAGTTTTCAACATTGAACCCTTCCATCCATTTTGAATCTACTATTTTTTCTCCTATACAGAGAACACAAACACAACATAGAAATTCAGCATTTTTACCTCATTTGACCCAAGCTAATCATTACCTACCAGCAGATATTTGCATGTGTTTCCTTAAAATTGCAAAGCATTACTAATTTTAGTGTTTTATATTTAAAGAAATATTATCTTAAACATAAAAGGCTAACCAAGCCAGGCGTTGGTGGCACACGCCTTTAATCCCAGCACTCAGGAGACAGAGGCAGGCGGATCTCTGGTAGTTCTAGACCAGCCTGGTCTACAGAGCGAGTTCCAGGACAACCTTCAAAGCAATACAGAGAAACCCTGTCTCAAAAAAAAAAAAAAAGAAAGAAAGAAAAGAAAAAAAGCTAACCAGGAAGTCAATGCTATAAAAATAAGTATTCTGGGATGTAAAAATCAAAGAATATTACAGGTCCCCTCATACACACATGTGCCCTCAAGTATGGCATAATTCTGCAATTGCACCACATGCACACCTTTCCACCATTAAGCCAGCAGTAGCTTGGCCCATCCTTCCCAGCAGTACAGTCTACCTTATATGCCACGCTTTTCATTTTCATTGCTGTTATCTTGCTAGAAAGTTTAGACCTGGGTTTTTGGATTCCACATCCACTGTCTAGCCCAGCATCCCATGAATAAATTTTAAATCTGCTTTTAATGAGTAGCTAGTGGGCTAGAATGCTTACTTTATTAATCACTATAAATTCTACTTTCATCCACATCATCTGTTTAAAACATCACCAGTAAGTCTTTGTCTAACATAGTATGATTAGAATGCTCATCAGAGTGCCAAAAGCCCTCCATGCTTTGGCTTGTTTTCAAGCTTTACCTCATTCTATTTCTGTCAGGAATCTTTTATCTACGACTCTCAACGTTTTGGAGTGTGCACCATTTGTCTCATTGCTTAAAAATGTTTATCTGTCGCCTAGATTCTTACTTAGAGATTTCTGCATTTAATATCCAGTTGGAAAAAATAGTGAACTGCTTTCAGCTTTTAATTTAATATAAAAATTTTAATTAAATAACTTTTACTTTTTAAATTTTATTATTTCTGTGTGCACTCCTGTTTGTGTGTATGTGTGCATGCGCCACTCACAGGTGCACAAGTGTGTGAAAGTCACAAAACTTTCTATCCTCCCACTGTGACATCTAGGAGATAAACATAGGTGGGTCAGTGATTCATGGCAAACACTTTTACCCACTGAGCCATGTCTCTAGCCCAAAATGTTCTGTTTTATAAAGCACACACCTCATATGTTTAAAACGCATGCACGTGGGCACACTTGCATATTGTGAGTTGGATTATTATATACTTGGGAGGAAAATGTTCAAGTTCTAATCTCCAGTACTTTTCATTTGTATCTTATTTAGAAAAGAAGATGGCTGTAAATGTAAGTTCAGATACAAGTGTACTGAATGGAGTGGGTCTTAACTGAATAGGATTAGTGTCCCTCTAAAATGAAAAGTGACAAAGAAGCACAGAGAAGAGGAAGTGAGGCAGAAACAGAGGACACCATGTGAATACCCAGATAGACCTTGGAATTATGCCACAGGAAGGACAAGGAAGACAACCACCAAAAATAAGGAAATGTTCTCCTGTAGTATCTTCAAAGAAAGGTGGCCTGAGTTGGCCTTTATTTGACTTCTGGTCCCCAGATCTGTGAAAGAATCTTTGAAGTTTAAAACCTCTCCTACTCCCATTCCAACCCTAGCTTGGACTTTGTCACAGCAGCCCTGAGAAACTAATACACAAAAAAAAACCATAAATGTGATTTTGTTACCTCTGTAAACAATAACTAATGTAGATAAGGCTTTATGGATCACTTTGAATAACTCTGAGATCCCAAGAGTAAAACAATAAAACTTGAGCCAGCCCAAGTTCCTTTTTGCCCAATGACTGTACTGTGGTCTTTTCCCTGTCCACTGTCCTCATCAACCCCTCTGAAATTCTTGCCAGTGCAAATGCTGTCTTCATGAATACATTCATGATCCCATCTAGGTAGACAGGAAATATTATACCCATTTTCAGCTTTCAAAGAGAAATGTTTCTGGCTTTTTCAGTAACCTAGGTTGACAAATTTTCACTTAAATAAAACAAACTGCTTCTGTTTTGCTAAGAGTAAGAAAATCACAGGCCAATACATGTAGTCACATATATAATTCCTTTTTGAAATGCAAAAAATACATATCTATGTATTAAGTGTGCAATATTTTTACACTAACAAACACCGAATGGTTTTGTTTTACATGTGCTAGAGAAAGAAAAGTATGTTAAGAATATACACAGATTTTACTGGCTGAATACTGTTAACAGTTACATTTGTCAGGCACTATTTCTCTCAAATGTGTCATGTACTCTTACATGTGTTGTTTCTAATCTTCATTACAGTGCTTTGATTAAAATACTATCCCCTTTTTCAAAGGAAAAACTAATGCAAATTAAGGTTCTCTCAGTTATGCAAGTCATACTTGAGGAAGTTTAAATTTAGGATTTGATCTAGCTATGGCTAGCTGAGCTCAGTCTCCCATACATTTCACAGTGAAATCAAGACCAAAACCTCTAGTTAATTTCTACTAATCTTACCAGATGAAATACACTGATGAGAGTAGGAAAAGGTCCAATACAAAAAAAAATAATAAAATGTTTTTGTATGTTTTGATAAAGCTTCCCACAAGAGATGATCAAAGGGGTCTTGTATGTATTTCTGTCTCTGTTAAAAGTTCACAACTAACTAAAGGCTGGCTATGTAAATCAGTGGCAGTGCTTGCTTAGTATGCCAAAGATCCTGGCTTCCATCCCCAGCACCTGAAATCAGAATAGACCATTAGCCATTTTCCTTCCTAGGAATCATTTTAGTTTGACAAAAATCATGTGGGATAAATAAATCTCTTTTAATTATGTTAATCATTAACATTAATCAGAATTTTGTTTTAAAACCACATTGGTATATCAATCCTTGTACTTGTAAAGATTTTGTTATGTACCTGACTGACTATTAATCTTCTAGCCCTTGTTGAAAAGTATTACTATTACACATCTTCATAATTATGATTTAAACACCCTATGCCTGGAGCATAGGGACTCACACTTTTAATTCTAGCCCTCAGGAGGTAGAGGCAGGCAAATCTCTATGAGTTTGAGGTGAGCCTAACTGGCATAACAAGATTCAGGCCAGCCAAGACTACACAGCCAGACTTACTCTCAAGAACAAAACAAAACAATAACAACAACAACAAAAAAAAGCAAAATGTGTACTCTGGGTAGAGGGAAGACAAGAAATGCTATGAGGAAATATCCAGTGATCCTTTGAAATGGTGATTATACTATCTGAAAATTCTAGATAAGAGGAAGCACCTTCACCAAACTCCAGCACAACTGGTTAGCAGTGCATAGAGTCTATCACAGGTGAGTCTTGGATCAATGACTTGAAATACTGACTGACATATAAGCAGTTACTGCATTTTGACATTCTGGATCAATTTGAAAGCATTTAGAATCACCTAGGAGACACACCTCTGGAGTTGTCTGTGAAGGCATTTCCAGAGAGGTTTAACTGAGAATGGAATAGCACCTTATTGTGAATAGCACGGTCCCCATGACCTGAGGGCCTGGACTGAATAAAAAAGGAAGAAAGCTAGTGGAATGCCTGCATTTGTCCCTGTTTACTTCCTGACTAAAAAGGCAATGTGACCAGGGCCTCACACTGCTGTCCTTGTACCTCCCCCATTATGAGTTGTACTCATAATTGTCAGCCAAAATAAGCCCTTCCTCCCTTGAACTGCTTTCACCAGGTATTTTATCACAGGAATTATCCGTAATGTACAAGTAATTAGTACATAGGTGGAGACAGCGTAGGGCTTATCTTTACTTCTTTTCACTTAACTGGAAGTCTGGACTAGAAAAAAAAATGACATCTTGCCCGTTCTTTTCACCTGACAGTTTAAGAGTTATGAGGTGTCTGTTTTGCAGAGCTGCTATGGAGTTGATGTCTATGTGAGATCAGATCACAACCACAATTGCACAACTAAAGGAGTTCACCAGGAACAAAGTGCTTAATTATATGTACAGATTAGTGTGTGTTATGTATACACACTGGTGTATATAAAGCGTCATTTTTTTGTTTGATCTAATCTCATGAGAGGTAAATGAAATATCATATGTTGGCCACAGTTATGTCATCAGCTTCCTTGTTTATATTAAAACAAGCTCCACCAGATTTTTGTTTGCAGTAACAACAGTTAACTAGCATGTTTCCAGATACATTAGCAAAGCCTACTAAAGTAGTAGTTTATCCTCAGAACACATACCTTTTCATTCATAAACATCACAGACAGCTCACAAGGCTATGTCATAAAGTCCAACATTTTCTTTCCCCAAGCATGCCATTGTTTTCTTTTTCCACACTTATCATAACTCTAAATAACCTGTAAATTATGACATAACTGAAAGGGTGGGAGGTTCAAAATGAGATCATATAAGATTGAACCCAAATTGTGGCAAATTATCCTTGACCTTATATCACTGCTCCAATACTATGTAACTATCTCATATATATCACTTAAAGAACTTAAAGAGATAAAACATAGTCTTTATGTTTTAAATGGATGGTAAAAGTTGTGATCATAAATTGACAGAAATAGTTAAGAGAATGTATTGAACTTCCAAATCATATGATTTCCTGTAAGGGAGACACTGTAGCCCTGTCTCCTAGGAGCTAGCTACAGGTAGCTACAGGTATGCTTGATTACGCCCCGCTTGTGAGGGCGTGATCAGGGGAGGGTCAGGATGATGCCTGGGGAGTTCTTAAGGGGGCGGCAGACACGTGGGAGCCCCCTCCCTAGCCTGCTACCTCTGGGCACTCTCTCTGGCTTGTGTTTGCTGTTGTTATCTGAATAAAGATATCCTAACCCTACGGACTACAGCTCGTCTCAATCTCGTTATAATTTCCACTTACCTTCTCTTTATTCATTGACTTCCTTTTTTCAAAACCCAAATAGAACATGCATCTTTCTCAGTTTTTTTAACTTTTATTGAATAGCCCAACATGCATGCATATATTTATGTTTAAATATATATGAAACATTTGCTTATTTTATACTTATCCTAATGATTTCCATTTCATTTTTGAACATAATGTTTCATAACTATTAGGCGAATTAAACCAAGTTAACAAGATAACTTTGGTTTCTGTTAATCATAGGTAGGAGAAAGGGCATTATGAACTAAGTATTTTTCTCTGAGGTTTTATTAAAACAAAAAGCCAATAATAATAACAAAATATTCCTTTGTAATTTAATAACCCCCAGGAGTGAACCATCTGCCAAACTTGTCTGCAGTGGCTTAAGCCAAGCTTTTATTTTGTAAATTATTTATCTACTATTCACTTTCAATAAAATCTCTAGTTACTGCCTTCTCTGTAAATAGACTTAGCACTTAAAGTTCATGCCTGGATAGAGGATTGTCTCTGGTTTTCTTTCTAAAGGAATCTATGGATTTCATGGGATTATTAATGATTATACCTTTTCTTTATTATCCATATAATTTCGTTTTTAAAATGTGAATTCTCAGTATTTCTGTATCTTATTCTATTAATACCCTCTGTAGCTTTACTATCTGTGTCTGTGAAATCCATGCTGTCTTTTGTTGTCTCAATAACCTTTACTAATTCCTAAATTTAAAGTATATTATATTGGATCACTATAAGGTATGTATAAATTTTTACATGTAAGTGATAGTGTTAACTACTCTTAAAGATAACTGTGCAGATGTAATCCCATCTCTTGTATTGTACAATATAATCTACCGTCTTTAAGTAAGAAAAATGCCAGAGAAAATATAATAACAAAAACACAGAAACTAGATCTAAATGACAAGTTACATGGAAACTTAGAATGCAACAACTGTAAATATAATTGAATAGTAAATATAATTAAAGTAACAAGCCATGGAGCTTTGTGACCCCTACCACTCAATAAGCATTAACCTAAAATTAAATGTGCTGATATTAATATTTTACACAGGAGAAACTGTACACCATCAAATACAAGTTCATTGGAGCACATCCTAAAAACTATCAACCATGAATAGAACAACTTTAAAGAAGCATTGTCTAGTTTGCCATGGTGACACACACTTTTAATCCTAGTACTTAGGATACACAGGCAAGCAGATCTCTGTGAGTTCAAAGCCATGTCAGCCTGGTGTACACAGCAAGTTCTAGGACAGACAAGGCTACAGAGAGAGACCCTGCCTCCAAAACAAAACAGAAGAAATTTCATATGTATCTAACTATGTATACACTATTTAAAATATTGTATACTATTTGAATAATATAAAACCTGGCCTGCTTGATAAGGCTAGAAAAAACTTTTTTAAAAGAACTAAAAACATCAGGCAGTGGTGGTTCATGCCTTTAATCTCAGCACTTGGGAGGCAGAGGCAGGAAGATCTCTGTGAGTCTGAGGACAGCCTAGTCTACAGAGTGAGTTCCAGGACAGGCTCCAAAGCTATGCAGAGAAACCCTGTCACAAAAAAAGGAACCAAAAATTTTAGTGAAATTTATTCATTGCGAAAAACATAATATGACTAAAGTATAAAAGAAAACAAAGTCAGTAGTATGCAGATCTATTGAGTATTGTATTAGTTACTTTTCTGTTCTTGTGATAAAACACCATGACCAAAAGCAGTTTATAGATGAATTTATTTTGCCTTATGGCTCCAAAACAAAAGCCCATGCTGTCAGGGAAGGCACAGTGGCAAGGAGGAAAATAAGAGATCGACATTTTTATTCATACACAGGAAGCAGAGTCAGAGCTGGAAGTGTGGCAAAGCTATACACCCTGAAGGCCCAACCGCAGCAGCATACTTCCTCCTAAAGGCTCTACCTCCT